GGAATGCCCAGCCCCTTTCTGAGCTAAGGGAACTAGGAGCCTGCCCAGGAATCCTAAGCACTTTACAAGTATTAGCTCATTTTAATCCTCCTAATTTAGAGGTCATCAACACCCAAAGTCCAAGTTACGAAAACAGAAATTTAGATGTTACGGGATTTGTCAAAAGTCACGCACCTAGTAAGAACGGAGGTGGACGCGGTGGCCTCCTGGGGTGCGTGATGCCCACCCAAGCACTTCCAGGTCCAGGGAGATACTTACTGCTGAACGTCCCCATCACCTTCCCTTCCAGCTTGTTAGCAACAGATTCACAGAGTTGGACCGCAATGTCTGCTGCCACGTTCTTAGCTGAGAAGAGGGGGACAGGCGTGGTATGAGTGCTCCAGCAGCAGTGAAAACCCCTATGGTACAGCCATTCTGCCCCCCACCGTCCCTACCCCAGAAACACGAGTCCACCCGTTCCTGACTCACCAATGAGATGGTCACGCATCTTGTCCAGCACAGATTCCATGTCTTCACGACTCAAGCTCTTGGAACCCACCAGGCCCTTCAGCATCCCAAACATGCCACCCAGAGTCCCCTTGGTAGCACTGCGGGCACAGAAGGTTACAGATGCACATATGGCCAGCAGGCAGCAGTCAAGTCTCCTCAGTTCTGGAGCCACACCCACCAGCCACCACCTCGGATCCCCTACCTAGGTTTGGTGGAGTTTTGAGCGGCCCCTTCGTCATCTGAGCTGCTGCAGTCCAGATCCTGAAGCTGCCTCCCAGACCCAGTCCCTCGAATCTGGAGGGTATGCGGAAAAGAAGGAGATGGGATCAAGAACACGATGGGCTGTGGGGGGAAAAACCTGGATTTACCCTGTCTACACTGCTCCACCTCTTCGATTCAGGAAGCTCCAAATGTAACTCACGCCTCGCGCCAAGGAGTCAAGAGTACTGCCCTCCTCATCTCTCCTTCCTCCCCCATATCTTATTAACATTGGCCTTCACTCTGGCCCTGCTGCCTCTTACCAAGTTGATGTCCTCGGGCGGGGCGCCCTCGGGGGCCCCATTGGCCGTAGGAGCGCTATAGTCCAGGACTTCCTTGTTGACAGAGCCACCCAGTGCCCACACCCGGGGCGCTTTTTTGCCCTTCTCCTTGGGAGCATCTGACTTACTGGACTTGCTGCAGAGGGTTACAGCACAAAGGGTTCCGATGAAGAAGCAGGAGAGGAAACATCCGCCCCAGAGACAAGGACTCCCTCGCCCCCAACGTGTCTACATAGCAGTACGTATGGCAAAAGCTGGAAGGCTCACCTGGACTTCTCCATACCCCTCCCATGCTTCTGAATGAACTCTTCTCGCTTCCTGCGGATCAGTTCCTCTTTGGAAAGTTCTATCCCGTTCTCAGGCCCCACTGGGAGACCTGACTTTTCTGCAGGGACTGCTTTGCTGGTAGCCAAAGGGCCATCAGAACCTGTCAAGGAGAAAACTCACTGGGGGAAAAAAGACCAAATTCCAACAAAATAGACAAATAGGGAAAAGCCTTCCAAATCATTAAGGCGAAACTAGGAACAAACATCCTGGGGGACCGCAAGGACCGGAGACGATGGTGAGGGTGGTGGGCACCAGAGCGAGGGAGGCAAACAATGACAAAGGGAAGGGCGGGGAACCACTCTAGCCCACCTTACCGACTTCTCATGCCCCTAGGTGTCCAAGGTCAAACTCACCTTCCTTCTTGGCCCCCTTGTTTTTTTTGCTGTTCTTGGCTTTTTCCTTAGGCTTTTCACCCCGTGTCTCAATCATGGACCTCACAGGTTTCTTGGCCTTTTCAGAATCTTCAAATTTCTTCATGGTTGTGGGAGCACGGACCTTACTGCTCTCCTCTGCTTCACTAAAGAGAAAAGGGAACAGTCCAAATGCAGGAGAAGGGCCCTCACACCCAGAAGACAACCAGAACCGAGCAGCAAACTCAGGAGTGCCATTCAATCCACAACATACGGCCCTCCACCTGCCCTCGGGAAGGAAGGAAGCTCAAGTCACAGAAACTATTTTGGAGAGGGGAGGCCTCTCACCGAAGGAGCCGCAGAAAGTCATTCTGGAAATCAAAAGTGCCATTCAGTAGACTTAAGGCACTTTGCTGTTGGATCTCAGTGCGGTACTTGTCACGAAACAGCCGGTGCACATCGTCTATCAACTTGTCTACGTACGTCAGTGTTAGGATCTTCTGAAAACCTACCTGTTTAGGGAAAAAAACAGAGCCAAGAGATCTGCTCACATGCCAGCCCAGAACAGAGGGAAGCCAACTCAGCCTAGGCCTTCAGAGACCGGCTCAACCACCTGGCAGGTTTCCCTGACCTAGGAGCAGCCAAGCCCTCTGACTGGGCCCGAGAGCTTCTCCCCTTTCCCCCTCCACCCTCCGTGTCTTCTCAGTTACTTCATCATAAACACTGGGTGCAATTAATCAGGGTTTTCTCAATAATCAGGACTCCGTGGTGACTATAATCACTGCCCCTCTAAAATACCCCCACTTACCACAAACACCAGCTCAAACTGGTTGTCCAGTTTATACTTGAGCGTGAGTGCCTCATGGGTGAAGGAGTTGTTACCTCCCCTTTCCTGGAAAAAGAGTATGTCTCAGAGTTCAGACTGTCCCAACACCTAGACTTGGGCCTCTCCAGGATTGCCTTTGGAGAAGAACTAGACACTCCCCCAAACTCAAACCTGTCCCCAGGGCAAGAGGATTCAGGGGAGCTGCTCTTCAGCATTCCTCCTGCGACAAAAGGAGACACCGAGCTTGGGGGAAAGGGGCAAAGAGGTGGGAGGGGAGGACACGTGCCAGCCAGAAGGGAAGGAGTCCTCATCTCATATAAACAATCAGACTTACTAGCAGCTGTACACTACCTACAGTTCTTAAAGGCCGTTTTCCCAGCCATTATCTCACCCGGCCTTCGAAACAACAGAAAACCAAGCTGCTGGGGGCGAATGGAGGGAACGACGCTAAGTCTCAATAGACTACGGATTCCGGCCAGAGTCCCAGAAAGAGGAGGGGGAGGGGACAGCGCAAAGTTGCCGGATGGTCTGATGGGGGCGGGAGAAAAAAGTGGAGTCACAGTTACGAGTGAGCGGCCGGTTTGAGGTGGGCCGACGGGGTGGGAGGGAGGCGCGGGATCAGTCGAGGGGGACTAGGGACCGGGTCAGGGGGACGAGCCCGGAGTTCTGATCCCGCGGGGGCAGTACCTGCAGCAACACGGAACGAATCAACGCGTTAACTGGCCCGGTGCATGAGTCGCTCACGCCCTGGAAGCACCAGAGCACTAGCCCGCCTTTGGAGAAAATGGTGAAGAAGTCGAGCATGGCGGCAGCGGGAAAAGAGCCGGGGCCGGCGCCGGGAACTCAGGCCGCGATCGCCGCCGCTTCCTGCTACGCCAAGCGCGGGACACGTCACACCAGCGGCCCCGGAAACCTGCTCAGCCGCACTTCCGTTCAGCGCAGTAGCCTGGGTCCCTCCCCAGCTCGGCCAGCGGGCGCGTAGGTCTGACGTAGACGCCGGGCACGCCAATGGCGGGTGGGGGTGGGCCTGGGCGGGGCTCTCAGGCAGTCAAGGGACAGTACGGCCGCCTATAGGGTGGGGGGGGTGGGGCCCGGAGGGGCCGCTGGCCAATGGGCGCGCTCGAATGAACTGCAGGCGACGCGTAGCAGTGACGGCGGGCTGGGACCTTGCCGGGGTGGGGCGCCCCACTCCTAGCTGCCGAGAGCAGCAGGGCCATGCTTCGGAGGGCGCTGCGGCTCGGCTTGGGCCCGGGCCTCTTGGGCCGGGGGCTAGGCACACACAGAGAAGGCTCTACTCTGGGTAAAGCTGAGAGCAGCGGAGGGTATCGTGGTTCTGGGGTGTTCCCAGTCTCCAGCCATGTGACCTTCAGGACTCGAGGTCCCGGTCCGCGTTGGGAAGACAGTGGGTCGCTGGGAGCAGGAGGTAACCTTGCCTGCCGGAGCTTGTAGAGCCTGGACAGGGGTATGGATCCCAGGGTTGCCCTTCTCAGGTGACATATCCCAGATCCTTCTGTGCCTGAGCTTACCACCAGAATAGCAGCCAGGCTGATTCATTGGTGGCACAGAAGTGCATGAAGTCCTGCTCGCGTGCAGGATGCTGTGCTTAGTGTTGTGGCCGTGAAGAAGGAAAGAAGAGAAAGAGAGGATTCGATATAGTCCTGCAGGTGCCTGAAGTGTAGCTGGAGAGGAAGGCTTTAGTACACCGGTTCAAGACTGGAGAGAACCCAACTCGGAGGATACCCTGCACTGCCAGTACCAGTGCCGGTAGCTAGTGTAATTATAGCAGTACATGGAACAGGTGGGAACGGAGATCAGCCTTGAAAGATGATGTTTACTGGCTCAAGGAAAGCATGAGTTCCAGGTTCTGGGGAACTGAGCAAAGGTTAGGAGGAGGAAAGTATTGTTCTTGTGCAAGGAATTAGCAAAGGCCATCCAGATAGAGAGTTTGAGTAGTAGTATGAAATGTCCTCAGGACAGGTAAGGTTAAGTCCAGATCAAAGAAGGATTCGAACGCAGAGAAGAGTTTGAACTTTGAATTGGAGACAGTGAGAGAAGACTTGGAGATTCGTAAGTTAGGTGTGAAAGACAAAAGGATTCATGTATTCAAGACATTTTTTGAGCACTTAGGATGTGCCAGGTACTGTTCTAGACTGGAGATTCTATGGAGAAGGTAGGCATAGTACAGCATGAAGCAATCACAGATAAACTCAAAGTTGCAAGTGTGTTGCATGCTGCAAAAGAGCGGT